GTTTCATCAGATTATCGAGTTGAAGGACTAGCTTATGGCTAGATTCACTTTTCTATGACTTTCGACGTTGCTCGTGGACATGGATGGTGGTCGTGGCTGTTCACTAAAAAAGTGCATTCAACTAATAAAATGGACTTTTTGAGTTTAAATTGTATATCCCTTGAGGAATGTTTACTTTTGATTACACAATTTTAATCAATTTAATTTTAACAATAAAAAAAAGCATGCAATAAGATTTGATTTTGGAAAATAATTAAAAATCTACAAAATAAGAAAACAACAAAAACTTGGAAAATTTCGGAGAAAAATGTGTTTGTAATTCATGGTTTTACTTAACTGTTGCTTACTTAATTTCTCTACATGCCAATTAAAAAAAAATACATATTTACGATGTTAGACCTGATTTTTCAATTATAGTTAATTATCTCTCTCGAACGAAATTATTCCTAATTAATTGGTTTAACCTACTATATCTCAATGTTAATTATAAAATAATCTCATTAAATCTTTGTGAAAATAATTGAATGGGTCACTTAGGGTTATGGATATATCTTTATCTCCTGCGAAAACCTAGAATTTCTACTATTTGGTCTAAAATGTACAATTTTCTTTCTAACGATGTACAAATCACTAAACACAATCATTCATTGAACACATAAATGAAAATGCAAGAAATACAATAGTAGATACACATTGAAACAAGCATTTAACTTTAAAAACCAAATATTGAAATTAATTAAAGCTAATTTAAAATACTATCATAAATCCCAATACAAGAAATTAGCCCATATTATATATATAATAAAAAATGAGAATAATTATCTAATACATCACAAATGAAAGAAAATGATGGAGTAAATTTAAGATAAAAGTGAAAACCCCCTTTTTGGTTACCATATATTAAACATGAGTTTTCCCCAAAATCTCTTCCTCTTTCTTTTAGTTTTCTCCTTTTGTTACTCTAATTCTTCTCCAAAAGATCAAGAAAATGACAAAAAAAAGAAGACGAAGAAGAAGAAGAGATGAAGAAGAAGACAGAATTCAGCTGCAACTGCCGATTTTAACATTTACCTAGAAAACAATCTGAATCTCCATGTTTTTTTAAAGCGGCGAGCCGTGAGTTGGCGCCTAGGCACCAGCTTGCGGCCACCAATTCAATTTTGATTGCTCATATCGCAGCAAAGTCCCCAAATAATTGCACACTAAGTTCCTCGACTTTGATCTTGTACAATTTGGTTCTTCGCTTTCGACTATCATTTCAACCAATCCCTCATAAATTGTGGTGCAAGGTCCTTTAACTTTTTGATTTATGCACTTTGTTCCTCAACTTCATAATTTTGTATGCTTTTGGTCCCTTTTTACTTCATTTTACCTTGTTCTATTTTCTTAGGTGAGTTTTACCTACAAAAACCATAAATACAAAATTGTAAATAGAAATTCGCTCAATTTAATCATTAATTAACATATTTGGGTATTAAATAAGTGAAAAAAAAAAAAAAACAAAATTTCGATAGAATACTTTTTCCTCATGTAAAACTACTAAAAAAAAAAAAGAAGCAAAAACAAAGAAGAAAAAAAAAATTATTAAAAAAGTGAAAAAAAAAAAAAAAACACTTATCATGATTGCAAAGTATAATGTGAAATAATAGAAAAAGATTTGGAAAATTCAATGGTGCGTCTGGTCTAACTTTTAGTGCTTATATAAATTTGACGAGTATGGATTGAAAGCATTCACTTCTAATAAAGATTTGGCATTCAATACTGGACATAGAGAAGAAAAAGAAACTTATATCAACAACGATAGTGATGGAATCGGAATCTTTTTCGGATGTATTAAAGAAGAAAAAAACCTCAATCTATAATGGTGGAATTAGGATATTTTCGTAGGAGGATTTGTAACGCTCCAAATTCAAATAACCGATGCATTACCAACCCGAATTCTTTAACGTAAATGTTCAAAATACGATATTAAGAAAAGTTTTTAAATTTGAATTAATTAATAAATATTGTAAAGTCTTGACCATTTTGAACATGTGGACTTAGAAAAAAATATAGAACAAAATGATTTGAAAAGAGTTTTGAAAGATCAGCAAGTTGAAAGCAATTTTCTCCGACTGCGCATTGAGCTGCAAAAATTACTAAACCTAATAAACTTTGACAATAATTTATGAAAATTTAGCAGAGTATGAAAATATAAGTACAACATATAAAAATTTAGGATCTCAATGATGACATTTGAAGCACGAAATTATTTTTTAAACAGGTTGGTATGTGTTTCCCGAATTTGATAGTCGCAATTTACTAAAAATGCTATAATAATTCCACGGGACTTCGATCGACCTGTTTTCAGTTGCATATGATAGATAACTCATACATGATTGTTTTTCAATTAACAACATGCCGAAATTCTAAATATACAGACCATAGTAAATTTTTAAAAACAAGGGCAGAATGCTGGAAATTCATGAAAACATATGTCCAAACGTTAAACTTTAGTGTCTCGAAATATAAACTTAAACTACAAACTTTTGGACAAGAGTTATCACACTTAAAAGTGACAATTTAAAATATGAGGAATCAATTTCTCTAAAATAAAATATGTCATTCATGCCGATTGCCGACTCACCGCAAGATCTCTTATTACTCTGAAAATGTTAGATAGGAATGAACACTCGAAAAAATACCCAGTAAGCTACACATGCATCAAATCATGTATTCTTATATATTTCCTTCATAAATAAGCAAATCGATGATCAAGCGATCTACTTAAAGTTCTGATGAGTCTTTGCGACCATCAGTTAAATATACGTACTTAAAGTTCAGATAAGCCTCTCGACTATCAGTAAACATATAATCTTTCAGACATAAACACTTAAGAAAAACCATTAAAGGCACTTCACATACTTTCATGAGCAAATATAATGAATAACATGTGTGAATGACAATTAAATGCATATAACGATCAATTTAATGTATGGATCCTACCTTAGTTCGTTGTGATAAGGTAGTGATTATGTCGAACGGAACTCCTCTCTAAATCTTAGACAAAAATACATTCTATCTTGCCTATTATCTTTGTATGTACTTAGAAATAGGAAACCTTCGTGTGTATTTAGAAGAAAATCATGTATCATCGAAAGTTTGATGAAAATTGTTTTTTAAATGGTAGAGTTTGAATATGAATATATTTCCCGTTTTAGTGTTAGGATAGGGCTTTAACAAATTTTAGATTTGATTATAACTTAAACAAGAAAGGATATGTATCATTTGAATTAAAATTAAACACATATAAGTTGGTCTTTGCAAATGGAAGGAGTTTGAATATATTTTGAGTTTATGATTTGCTATGATTCCAAAAACTAACCTACTCCAAATTTCTAATTTAATTTTAATTACATAATTAAATCGCATAATACAAATCACAAATAACTCTCATCCTAATTCAAGAAAATTAAAAGATCAAATTGGTTAGTTGGATTGCAGGGAATTCAATTAGAAAACTAATAAAACTAATCCAAATTATCCTTCATTCAAATTCAGAAATCAAAATATCAAATTCAAATTATTACGGTTTGAACCATAATAACTTAAGCCTAACTTATTCGAACTAACTTTTTTTCAAATCCAAAATTCGTCATATAACATGAGTTTCGAAATGAGCCTAAAATTGATATGGAAATTCTAACTAAATGAATACTTGATTATTAGACCAAATAAAAAAATAACAATGACGTCAAAACTTATTTTCATATTAGTCCCTCAACATTTCAAAATTTACAAAATGTACCAAAATGAAATAAACGAAAATTTATTTTCGGTCGCTACAGGATGAAATTACAAAATGTGTATAATTTGATAACTATTTTAAAAATGTTTTCTTAGCAGCCGTCACCCGTTGCTCACTTGTCATTGGGGGTGGGCAAAATATCGAAAAGTCGATCAAATCAAATCAAGTTGGGTTGATTTGAACCAAAAAAATCCGTTTGATTCGATTAATTTTAACCATTAAAAAGTCGAGACGGATTGATTTCAGTTTTAGCAACCAACTCGTCAATTAACATATCTAACTCGCTAATATATTTCTTTATTTTAATTTTAAAATTTATATTTTTAAAGTTAAAAAATAAAAAAAATAAAACATAAATATAATTATTTCTCAAATAATTTATTTATCATCTACGCTTTTTCTACCCAAACTCCAAATTTCAAAAGAAAAGAAAAACAATGAAAAGAATTGTTTAGTGTAAACTCCAAATTCAGATTGTAAGCTTGCTTTTCATTGTAGTGTAATTATTTGTTGATAACTATCGGATATACACAATGATTTTGGGAAAACCAGCCATTTACTATTCACATTATATATTATTGACATGCACTCCACAAGCAAACAAATGATTTTATTATATATATGGGTTGATTCGATTTCAATAATTGAATTGTGTCGGTTTGAATTGAAATTTACTCCAACCAACCAAGTTGGTTTCGATTCGGGTTGGAATGAGAATCAACACAATCCGAACAATGTCCAGACCTACTGGTCACTAAATATTTGTTTAGATTACAACTCTACATGGGATCTTTACATAAATAAAGTCCTTATTATTTTCAAAATATATTTTTCGTTCTCTTATTTAGAAGCACATATTTTTCAATAAAATAATATTACACGCAAATTTAAAACTTTTTTCTATTTCTTTAACCACACATTTTCCATTAAAATATTATTCCAAAATGCATTATTTCCAAAAAAAAAAATAAAAAAAATTCAAACAGGCTCTAAGGGTATTTGAGCATTCCCAATATTTGATTGCATGGTGAATCAAAATACAACTAACGAAACACGAAGGGAGATCGAAGTCACTACGAACTACGTTACACTTTTTTCATAGCTTTCAACGAAACGACAAAACAGACACTATTGGTCTATAAGCGGTCCACTCCGTCGAGCATACTCGATGAAAGTGTACTAAAAAATCCCACAAAAATATAAGGACCAATTATTATTCCGAGACGGCTACATATTCTCCATTGGTAGAAACAACTGGCTCGTTCTCAGCCCCCTCAAATATCTTGGCGATTCTCTCGATTGGCACTAAAGGCAAGTAATACGACAGCGGATAGCCTTTCTCAGCCGTATAAGCCACGGCTTGATTATATTTCTCCGCCCAATAGGCGGCCGTGGGAATCATGACGTCAGCCACTTGAAGGAACAAAGGAAGCCGGTTCAACAGGCGCCAAGCTGAAACCGCATACTTCTCAGCTATTGGCTCGTACTCCGTGTAGAGTTCCTTGGCTGCAGGCTCGTACTTGGCGTACAGGGATTTGGCAATGTTGGTCGCAGTGTCCAATAAGCTATCGCGCTGCACTTCCGCAGCCAACTCATGGGCCACTTCCGGAGCCTTCTGAGCCGCGGCCGTCGCTTGGTACGCAATCTCTTTAAGTAGAGCGGGGACGTGACGGTCCAACTCGGTTATGGACTCATCGACCTGTACATCACGTGATCCAATTTAATAACGTGCGCTGAATTTGATAAGGTGCGCCAGTGGGTTAATGTTAGTGAAGAATTTCGAACCTTGCGATCGACAAACTTGAGAAGCTGAAAGGGAACATCCTGGAATTTGTCGTAGACCGGTCCAATGACGGCTTTGACAGTCCCTTCGACGGTCTCAACTCCGGGCTTCAACGGACCGGAATTCTCCTTGGCGTATTCGTAGAGGGCCGAGCTTAACACGACGACGTAAACAGCAGCTACTTGCTAATTCTCCTTGGCGTATTCGTAGAGTGCCGAGCTTAAAACGACGACGTAAACAGCAGCTACTTGCACGAATTCAAGATACTTGAGTTTCTTCTCATCATTTTCCTGAACCTGCGTAAAAAGATCGCATTTGGAGATCTTAAATCCTACAATCAACGTAAATCTTCTGATTTATTTCTCCTAAGCAATAACGTATCGGCGAAGATTACAATGATTGATTAAACTAGCAAATCTGAATTCAAAATTTGCCTAAATAAGTAGGTTTTCTTCAGCATACCGTTTGAATCGGAGGTTGTGCTTCTGGTTCCGCCATGGATTTCTGCTTTAACAATCACAATTCTAGAGAGAGAGGGCAGATTAAAGTTGGCAGTGGAAACGTTTAGCCACTCTACCAATTTATAAACGCTTCGCCGATCTCGTGGGCGGAGTTTTCCTTTCAGTTTCCTCAACTTTGTGCTAAATCCCAAAATGGTCCCTTATATTTTAGATTATAATCAGATGAGTTCGTTCGGTTAAGGATATGATTATATTGCCCCTATGGTCATTAACATTTGTTCATTGTCACATTTATATTCCAATTTTTTTGTTGTTGCATTCTTATAGTTGTCATTTTATTAATTAGTCTATCGTGTCTTCTATGATAGTTTCTTTTAAAAAGCCAGTTACGAAATTATAATTTAAATTTTATCAACTGTGCTCTAGACACTTCACACGCTGATTACTAGAAAATTGAGAAAAACGAAATACGAATAACAAGAAGAAAATGAAATTATTTAGTAAAAAGAAAAAGTAGTACAACATAGAGTTTTTATATTAATACAAAAATCATGCTATTTGTACATACAAATAGTACATAAGAGATTTACATAAAATGACGAGGGAAAATATTTGATAAAAAATTGATTATATTTTAAATTAACGAATGATAAATTATCTAAATCAAACATGGCGTAAATGACTATTCTTGAATATAATTGTGAATTGAAACCTATGAGGGTAAAAGGTTCTAATCAAAAGCAAGGTGGACCGAGCTATAATTTCCACGTGCACGTGTGGATGGCACGGGATTGTGCGCCGGCACAATTCTCTAGGTTTGGTGCACTGCTCAGTCTGCTCCTGCCCATTACCGTCGTCACAAGATTTCTCATCCTGGGCCCATTTGCTTTTTTATCTTCTAGATCGTGATGGGACTTCATTTATGGGGTCCACTTTCCATTCTCACAGCCAACTCGCTAATGTCATGTCACGGCATTATACTGGACGCTACCGCGTATGCTCCGCAGCTCCGTGCGGGGAAAAAAAGAGAGAGATGCAATTTGAAGAGAAGATGTGCCGCCAAAATTAATACTTAGAGCCTTTCTTGCAATTAAAATGTTAATTTCAACCGTTGCCAAGGAAAAATTTTATCGTTGCTTTTCAACATTTTCCATAATCATATGACGCCATAGCTGCAATATTGGACCATTGTATGACGTAGTGACCTTTTTGCCCTTCATATTATTCATTATCTTAACGGACATGGGCTTCTCCAGTAATTTCATTTTCCAATGGTCCAATATTGTGGCTATGAGACTAACTTTCTGCCTCTAGCAACGGTCATAATTTTGCTTAAATTTTCGTGAGAAGCTCTATCAGACAGACTCTTAGACAATTTTCTATTGAACAATGTGCCAAAAAAAAATTGATTCTGGCATCATTGTTTCTATACAAGCAGAGAAACTGAAAAAAAAAAACTAATATAAGGCTCATTTGTGCCTTCCTACAGGCGCGGCTCTAGTCTAGTAGGGTGTTTGGTGTAAATTAAAATCAGATTTTAAGTGGACTGTGATAAAAATTTTTGAAATTTGTGGTTGAAAAGATATGGTTGATATTGATTGTTTGACTTTGACTTAGATTAAAATCAGACCCAAACATGCTCTAGTTTGGTTTGGTCGTAATTAAAGTGTAATGGTTACAAAAGCATAAAACGTCTTAAGCTCCTTGTGCCAATTCAAGCGTACTCTAAATCTAGCTAATTTTTCAGTCTTAACTTGTGCTGGACAAAACTCTCGAACTGAATCTGACCCGACCCGAACAGAGCTATTTTTCTTAAGTTAAATATTCGAACGGATATCTGAATTGAGAACATACGGATTTGGTTCGGTTCTTGATTCTAGACCAAGAACCGAAAAATTGAATAAAAACCGAATCTCCCTAATTTTTTAAGTAGAAATTACAGTTACCTAGAGTTTTAAAATGTCCAATTCAAAAATCAAATTTTAAAGTTTTTGTTCAAAATCAGATAATAATTTAATCGTTTTAATATCATAAAATTAAATCAATTTTCCTCCAATGCACCCCACATATACCAGCTCATCTTCCACTTTCACTCCACCACTAATTCGGCGACGGTGCACAATCGGTGACCGATGTGTCGATCTTTATAGATCACGAAGCTGTCGATCTCCTACCTCACGACGTCTTTTCTCCTTGTCGCTACGTCACCAACCTTCCGGTCAGAAGGAAAAATCACCTTGGGCGAGCGAATCACCACCGTGTTTGGCTCAATCTGTGCCGTTATAAACTGCCACTCAGTTAATTGTCACCGTGCGAGTGGTGTGAGCACAATCGCTACAACAGTGAATGATAGTGAATTTTGGGAAAATTTGGCTGCAATCTAGTGTCGAAGTTTTGGTCGTTGCAATTTGGGGAAATTTTGGTCACGATCTAGTGCCGAAAAATTTGGAGTGAGTTTTGTTGGTTGTGTGCAAACTAGTGGTGGTGGTGTGGCGGTACTCTGAGGTGGTGGCGGCGGCAGTGCTGGTTGTCTTTTGGGGTGGATTTTGTTGGTTGTGTTTGCAGTTTGTGGCAGTGGTGCGGTGGTTGTGGCGGTGGAAAGACTTGTGCGTTAATGCTGTGCATACATAATTCTAAATATGCATTAATAAAAATTTAACCCTAAAATTTGTTGAAGAGAACTTAGTAATAAGTGGTTTAAGGTTTTAATCAATTATATATTATGTGTATAAAACTTAAAATTAATAAATGCAAACTTATCAACAATACACACACACACACACTCAGATTGTATATTAAAAAGTTGAGTTTAAATCCCAAGATAAAACCATCATGTCATGACAGAATTTCCAGTTTAGTTTAGTTTAGTTCAGCATAATTTTCAGCTCAGCTCGATTTATTTTCGAAGGGAAGGAACTGTCGTCTTCATTTAAGGAACATTATCATTACATTTTGATTTTCCTAACTTTAAGGTTGACGTGATCTTTGTCTAACCTAATCACTTTAGAACACGTGGCAAACATTATAGGGCACCTCAAATTGTGACCAATCACAATTTCACAATAATTAGTCCCCACCTCAGCTCTGTCATGACAAATGGAAGCCGACCAAAACATCCAATCAAAATTATGTCAAGCGGCACACATATTAAGGTCGACACTGTAGCTGATTTGATAAACATACCAATTTGCCTATTTCCTGCTATAAACAGGTTGTAACGATCCCCCATGGGTGAGGGGGGACTCAACTATTACATGTAACTCACTCCCAAATTCTCCATACCCAATACAGTTACACTATTTTTCTTATATTTCAACACAATTTAATAATTCAATTCAAATTACCTCTTTCAAATCATCAATTAAGTTGACAAAAGTGACCTACACATTCTTTTTCACGTCAATAATACATAAAATAATTAACAAGAGATGATTTTTTCCCCTGCTACTGTCCGATAATTACAAAAGAAAAAAAAAACTTAGGTCTCAATAATGAAATTAGAAATAACTTGGTTCAAAAGATCCTAATTAAGTCTCTCTTTGGCACCATTATCGTTTTTTCTCAAATTTATTTTCAACCATATATTTCATACGCCCCCACAACTTTTATAACATTTTTAACCACATATTTCGTCAATTTTTTTCAAGATCTATTGAAAATCAAAATTTTAACTAAACTAAACAGGGATCCTCCCTGTCCTCCCACCCTTTACCTTGAGTGAATAGTGGGTTGTGTTAGATGTCATACTAATGGTTGTTTGAGACCCGATACGGAAAAAAAACTCATAAGATCAGTCCATTTGGGTCAAACGAGGTCAATACTATTTCTTGAAAAAGTTAAGGAAATCTCCAACAACCCCTAATCCCACAAAGGGCCTCAAACCAAGAAATAGATAATATATTTTTCAAAAAACGGTCTCTGAGTATAAGTTTCTCCTTCAAACAATCGACAGAATTACTTTAATGAAATGAGCACAGCGTAACAGTATGATAACAGGATCAGAAAAAACAATTCGAGCCCACCGACTTCACGATATTTCCTTAAAACGAATTTACTATCTTCAAAGGTACTAAAGGCGTCCAGCAATCGTTTTCCATGATAGAATGGATTTCGTCTCTTACGGAAGCAGCACAACAATCTGTAGGAGTTCCAACGAACTCAATAAAGTGTATTCACTTCGAAAAAAAATATCAGAACGAGATAGAGGGAGAATGAGATTCAATGCAGAGAATATTTGCAGTGAAAATGGTGTAATTATTTTGGTAGCGGGGCTGGCAATTTAAGAATCATTCGTAGCCATTTGAACATCCTTCAAGCCTTTTCAGAGCAGTCGCTACTGTTCAGACATGCCCCAAAAAATTGAATAGACACCATGGTTTGGTTAAAAGTCGGTTAAGAGACCATCCAAAATTATTACCCGAAAATAAGCTAATTAATAATTTTATTAAGTACCCAATAATTTGATTAATTACAATTTGGTCCAAATTAAATAAATTTTGACCAAAAAGATAATATAGTATAAGGATGCACCCTCACACGCACATGAACCGGATCGGACTGGGCTTAGGCACGTGCTCGTGCTGTGTCGTGCTGAGCCGAGTTGCCTGGTGGACGGACGGCGGCGGCGACGCATGCGTGTAAGGTTTGAACCGAATCCCCAGAGGATATAGGTCTCCCCCCTTTTAAAAACTATTGGTACCCCTTGGGGTCCAAACCCAATTCCCAAACTTGCACAATATAAACCACACTAAAGTTTCCTAACTTTCATATGTGAGACAAAAGTTTGGCAATTTCCAATACATCAAATTCTTCACTAGTTCATAGTTTCAAGTGGGTTACTTTGACATTAAATATTTCATTCAATACTAAATGTTTTTCGATAAATAAATATATCACGTTAATCATCTTACGGAGTAGAACGTGAATATGCTAGGTCCCGTTAAACATAAGGCACGGATCCTACTGAATTTTGGGCTCAAAATTGACCCATTTCACTAAACCATTTCCAACAATCCCCCACATGAATGAAATATGTCG